CACTCTGGTAGCAGTGGTTATAGTAGGGCTGTGAACCTCAAGGTCAGCAGTTCAAAACTACCAGTGGTTCCGCAGGAGAGCGATGAGGCTTTCTGCTCCTGTGAAGATTTACAGCCTTGGAAACCCTATGCAGGGTCACTATGAGTCAGAGCCGACTCCACAGTACATAAACACCAACCATACTGAAGATCATATTTTGGCTCTCGTGGACTTGTTTTAATTTTCTTCAGCTGCAGCCTGAACTTGCATATGAGCAATTGATGGTCTGTTCCACAGTCTGCCCTTGGCCTTGTTTTGGCTGATGATATGGAGCTTTTCCACCCTTTCTTTCCACAGATGTAGTCAATTTGATTTCTGTGTATTCCCTCTGGTAAGGTCCTTGTGTTTAATTGTCTTTTATGCTGTTTGAAAATGGTATTCATAATGAAGAAGTCATTGGTCTTACAAAATTCTATCATGCAATCTGCAGCATCATTTCTATCACCAAGGCCATATTTTCCAACCTTTGCATTCCAATCACTCATAATTATCAATACTTCTTGATTACATGTTTGATCAGTTTCAGACTGAAGAAGTTGGTGGTGGTGGTGGTTATGTGCGGTCCAGTTGGTTCTGACTCATAAGGACCCCATAGAGGGTTTCCCGAAGCTGTACATCTTTATGGGAGCAGAAAGCCTCATCTTTCTCCCGCAGAATAGCTGGTAGTTTCGAACTGCTGACCCTGAGGTTAGCAGTCTGATTCGTAACCACTACGCTACCAGAGCTCCTTGAAGAAGTTGGTAGAATTCTTCCATTTCATTTTCATGGCTTTAGTCATTGGTGCGTAAATTTGAATAATAGTGGTATTAACTGATCTTCCTTGTAGGCATATGGATATTATCCTATCGTAGACAAGGTTGTATTTCATGACTGATCTTGATATGTTCTTTTTGATGATTATGTGACACCATTCCTCTTCAATTTGTCATTCCCGGCATAGTAAACCACGTGATTTTCAGATTCAAAATGGCCAATACCATTCCATTTCATCTCACTAATGCCTAGGTTACTGATGTCTAGGCATTCTGTTTCATTTTTGACTATTTCCAATTTTCCTAGATTAATATTTCATCCATTCCATGTTCGGATTGTCAATAGATGTTTACATCTGTTTCTCTTCATTCTGAGTTGTGCCCCATCAGCAAATAAAGATCCCAAGGGCTTTACTCCATTCATACCAACTCTACTTTGAGGAGGCAGCTCTTCCCCTGTCATATTGAGTGCCTTCCAACCTGAGGGGCTCATCTGACAATATTCTGGTGTTATTTATAATATTTCAATATTCAATATTCTGGGCTGACAGTGTTCCACTACTATTCATAAGGTTTTCAGTGACTAAATATTCAGAAGTAGTCCATCACTCCTTCATCCTAGTCTGTCGTAGTCTGGAAGCTCAGCTGAAACCTGTCAACCATGGGTGACCCTGGGGCATTTTTAAATGTTCGTGGCATAGCTTCTAAAATCATAGGAATACACAAGCCACCACAGTACGGCAAACTGACAGATGAGTGGGGGTGTAAAATTTACAGCCATGGAAACTTTATTTGGGTCAATATGAGTCAGAAGCAAATTGAAGGCACACAGCCACCACCACCACCACCACCTCTAGTATCACAGCAACGAACAAGCCACCAAAGTATGACAAACTGACAGATGAGTGGTGACACATGTCATGAAGCCTCAAGAAAACACTGTACATTTGTGAGAGTGTGTGAAAAAAATAAACAACATCTTCATCTGGTTAGGAAAAGGGTCAATCCAGGTTCTGTCACTTTCCTAGCTAGATGATGAGGGACAATTGATGCTGCTGGAACTCATTTCCTCATCTGTAAAATGGGAACAATAATTGTATAGACCTCAGAATTGTTGTATTAAATAACATTTGAGCTGCTCAAAAATGGCAGTGGCCAGACGTGGTTCTGTTGGGCAAGATGACGTAGCAGAAAGCAGCATGCTAAACTGCACGTCAAGAGCCCCAGGTTGGTGTTCTAGCTCTTCCTCACAGGTTGCTGTGTGACCTTGGGGAAGACATTATACTTGTGACCTGGAATTCTTTCCAGGTTTGACTAGCTCCACCTGGGCTCTGAAGGTACCTCAAGAGTAGTCACGGAAGATGGGGGTGAGGGGTAAGCAGCTGAGTCTCCACCCTCACTTTCTCAGGTTTTCTTTTTGAGGCTCTGTGCATACAATTAGGCACCTCAGGCATTGGTCAGGGGTCTACAAATGTGTTTGGGAGCAGAAAAAAAGTAACTCCAAAATTTGATAATTAAATAGTATAATTGACATGTCTACATATGAAACCTCACTTCAGGGAGTTAAATGTATTTTTATTCAACATATGCTTATATAAGTTGCTGTTGTTAAGTACCGTCAAGTCATTTCCAATTTCATAGCAACCCCTTATAGAGTTTCTGAGACTGTAAATCTTTGTGGGAACAGAAAGCCTCATCTTTCTCCCAAGGAGTGGCTGGTGGGTTTGAACTACCGACCTGGAGGTTCACAGTTCAGTGCTTGTCCTACAGTGCCACTGTGCTCCCCATTTACACATGTGAGCTGTATTAAGAATGGAGATTAGTGTATTTTAGTGATTGAGGGTGGTAAAGTAGCTGTACAAAAATGTGTGTAGTTTACAAAAGATCTTTAAAAAACTGATAGTTTCAGTTGAAAAAAAGAAAAAATATTGCTTCTCAAAATAAGTTAAACTTTGAAAACTACGAAACCAACCAAAGTGCATTGAAATACCTGATGCCTAGGCTCCTTCCAGAGTTTGTAGACCACTGAGGTGCAGAATTGAAATGTGCTTGGTCAAACAGTTTGTTCTTACAAGTTCTAAGACCCAGAGGATGAGTGTGGGATGGGAGCGACACCAGGATCCAGAGTCTGAGACAGTTTGTATATCAACCGCTCCCATGTGTGTCCAAGGTGGCTTAGGGGATGGTGGCACCAAGACGTGCATGATTTGTCACTGAGTGACTTTGAGCACATCACTGATCTCTATGAGCCTATTTCTTTATGTGTGAAATAGAATGAAGAAACTTTTTACAGTGTATCTTTAAGTGCCGTTGAGTCGGTTCTGACTCATAGTGATCCTGTATAGGGTTTCCAAGAAGCGGCTGAAGGGTTTCCGAGAGTTTGACCCGACCTTAAGGTTGAATGCTTATCCTATAGTGTCACACCAGGCCGATTACATGAAGGAGCAGTTAGGCCCTTAGTAGGTGTTCATCTCAGGATGAACATCTGTGATGTTCACCAGGCACAAGTGTTCGGAGGAGCCTGGATTTGGATGAGAGGATCTCAGGATAAAGGTGGGTGAGGGTGTGGGTGTCTCACCAGCAAATCCCAAAAAACCCACTGCCAATTACTTCGACTCATAGCAACAAAGTAGAACTGCTCCATTATGTTTCTAAGGCTATAAATCTTTACAGAAGCAGACCATCCCAGCTTTCTCCCACAGAGCAACTGTGGGTTTGAACTGCCATCTGTTAGCAGCCGAGCACTTTAACCACTACAACACCAGTGCTCCTCCAAAATATATTGTTGTTGTTATATGCCATGGAGTCAGTTCCAACTCATAGCACCCTTCTATAGGGTTTCCGAGGCTGTAAATCTTTACGGGAGCAGCCGGGCCCTAAAAAGGAAGCAGACAAATTGAACCTACTCATGGGGTTTGTGGGAACACAGTGGCCCTGTAGGATAAGCACGGACTGCTAACCACAAAGTCAGAGGTTTGAGCCCACCAGCCACTCCACAGGAAAAAGATTAACAGCCTCAGAAACCCTGTACAGTATCATTCTTATGCAGAACCAACTCAATAGCACTTAACAACAATGGGGTTTGGGTCACACTTGTCCAGGAGGGAGAGTCTTAGGGCCTAAAGTAACTGTCCGGTTCTCATACCCAAATGTTTACTCCCCATGGGTGGGGTTGGAATTGCAGACCTTCCTCATAGCTCAGATTTCCACATCTCACATCAGCATCTTCATATGGAAGCTAGATGTTCTAGTCAGGAAGGGTGCAGGCGTCAGAAAGAAAATCAAATCCAACCGACTGGTATTGAGTCGATTCTGAGAAGTGGAAAATGGGATCTATATCTGGATATAACAATCAGGGTCTGTTTTCTGACCCTGTGTTTGAGGGACTTAATGAGGAGGGAGGTCCCTACAAAGTTGAGGGCTTTCTCACACTGTAATACCGCGCCTCCTCTTTTGCCTTAATACTGTATTCAAAACAGGACAGGAACTTTAGTTATGGGCCAGTCCTGTCTCCTGAGACTCAGATTTCCAGTGTGTAAAATGGAAAGGTGGTAAGAGTTTAGAGGAACACTGAACATAAAACGCTCCCAGAAAAGGCCCCAGGGGCTCTGTTGACTATTCTAAGCTCATGGTCTCCCACTGGCCACACACACATTTTAAGGACAAATTTCTTTTTACCACATAAAGGTCTTTATTGAACTCAAATTCAGGGGCCCCAAAAACTGAGGAAGACAAGGGAGGCTGGGAGTTGAAACTCAGGGGCCCAGGCCTCACACCCTGGTGCCCCACTCCCATCCCACCTACCCTCTTACCCACTTCCTGACTCAGGGAGGGTTCTCCGCAGCTACCACGCTAATCTACCAAACTCTAATGAATCCAACCCCTCCCTCCCCCCACCCCCTTCTAATACTTGGCCAAGCCAGGCACCCACCAAGGGGCATGCTACCTCAGAGGCCAGCTCTCTGCTGACCTTTTCCTGGATCTTGCCCAAAGCCTCTTGCTGTCTGTTTGGCCTCCCTCCAACCCCTCATCGTAGCCCATTTCCCATAAGTCTCCAGGGCATGTAACTTCCTCCACCCTGGCCCCTTCTTATCCTGGAATCCTCAACTCCATTCTTTCCAGCTTTTCCATTGTTTCAACGTTTTTCCTTTAACTCCTGCCCCCTTCTCATCTACCCACCACCTCCCACATCCCTAGCAGGGTCCCAGGTCAGCGCCGGCCAGCTGCATGGGTGCGCTGGTGACGGATGAGGTCGGAGCTCTGTGAGAAGGCTTTTCCACAGTCATCACACTTGTAGGGCCTCTCACCACTGTGGACGCGGTGATGCTGCAGCAGTGTGGAGGAGCGGCAGAAGCCCTTGCCGCACACCGCACACCTGTAGGGCCGCTCACCGGTGTGGGAGCGCTGGTGCTGAATCAGTGTGGAGGAACGGTTGAAGGTCTTGCCACAGTCGGGGCAGCTATAGGTGCGGCCCGGTAGGTGGGTGCGGGCATGGATGGCCAGCACCGAGCTTTGACCAAAGCGCTTGCCGCACTCAGGGCACTTGAAGGGCTTCTCCCGGGCATGGCTTCGGGCGTGGGGAATCAGTGCTGAGCGCTGGGAGAAGCTCTTGCCGCAGATGCCGCAGCTGAAGGGCCTCTGCCCAGTGTGCACTCTCTGGTGGCTGCGCAGGGATGAGTTCTGGCTGTAGCACTTGCCACACTCAGGGCAGCTATAGGGCCGCTCGTGGCTGTGGGTGCGCTGGTGCCTCAGGAGGTAGGAGCTGTCGCCAAAGGCCTTGCCACAGTGGGGACACTTGTAGGGTTTCTGGCCCGAGTGGGTGCGCTGGTGGCGAAGCAGGTAGGAGCTGTCAGCGAAGGCCTTGCCACAACGGGGACACTTGTAGGGCCTCTCGCCCGTGTGGGTACGCTGGTGTTTGATGAGGTCAGAGCTCTGAGAAAAGGCCTTGCTACAGACCTCACACTTATAGGGCTTCTCACCCGTGTGGATGCGCTGGTGCTGGATCAGGGTGGAACCCCGCCCAAAGCTCTTTCCACAGATGCCACAGATGTTAGGCCGAGGGCCTTCCCCAGACCTGGCCCGGCCACCCCGCCGGCCGGGAGCCCGCAGGGTCCCTGTCAGGCCTAGAGGATTCTGGAGCATCTCAAACTGGGGCGAAGTCAGCAGGGTACCTGTGGGCATCTCAAAAGGTGGTCCAAGGGGCAGACCCCCTGTGGGCTGCTCTCCAAACCCCTGGGTGAAGGAGTCTAGCGGGTGGACTCCCAAGGGGATACTCAAGGAATTCTTTTCTTCGGGGTTCAAAAGCACTTCTGCACCTTCCTGGAGTTTGGAACTCTGAGCTTCAAATTTAGGACTTTGGGTTTTGAACTCAGGATTCAGGGTTTCAAATCCAGAGTCCTGGGGTTCATACCCTGTACTCTGGGACTCATATCCAGGGCTCTTGGGTTCATACTCAGGGCTCTTGGGTTCATACCCAGGGCTCTTAGGTTTATACCCAGGGCTTTGGGGTTCGTAACTAGGGCTCTGGGATTCAAACTCAGGGCTCTGAGAATCTGATTCGGGGCTTCTGGGTGCAAACTCAGGGCTGGGAGGCACAAGCCCAGGGCTTCTGGACTCAAAACCAGGGCTTTCTGGCTCAAACCTGGGGCTCTGGGGTTCAAACTCTGGGCTTTGGGGGGGTTCGAGTCCAAATGGTATTTCTTCAACCTCATAGTCCCCGGAGCCTTCTTCATGAGACATTTCCTCTTCTTCATTGGCACTTATGTTGCCTGCAGGATCAGAGAATTACAGAAAACCCAAATTGTATGAGATCTATAAGATTCATTTGCCTTCAAATGGTCTGTCACAAACCTCTGCCTTCACTTAAAGTAAAGTCGCTTGTCCTTAGACAGGTAGTGAAATTACCACCTTCATCCCCACAACTGACCCCCGACCCATCCAAGTCCCAGGAGTCCAAACCCTGGGCTCTCCTCTCCTCCCACAAACCACTGTCCCCTCTCCCTGGCACACTCCTCCAAGGGGTGATCCCTCCCTCACCTTTGAGGGACCCTTCGAAGCTCCCAGTTTCGTCAGGACTGTGCACATCTCGGGGCTCGAGGCCCCACGGCGACGCCTCCCGCTCCATCCCCGCCGGCTTCCAGTGCGGGGGCAGCGGGGGCGATGGAAGACGATCCTGAGACCTGGCCTGAGTGCCCTGAGCCCCGGGCCCTCGCAGCCTGCCCACTCAGCGCCGCCCAAGGGACCTGGCTGCCCAGCCCCGGCCCCTGAGGCCGGACGTCTTGACCCTGGGCCTCTCCTGGCCGCCGGGCCCCTCCCTCCCCGCGGTCCCGCCCCCTTGACAGGGTCCGGGCTTGGCCTGTGGTCCTCACGGACCCCACGCGTCGTGGCCTCGGGTTAGAGGGGCTTCACAACCGGTCCTGCCGCACCCAGGCCCCGTTCCCCACCCGAAGCCCCCCAGTCAGGCCCCCCAGCCCAGGCTGGGCTGCGGCTGTCCGGCCCCCTCCCCCCCGCACAGGAAGTGTCCGTCCGCGGCCAGTTCCCCCCGCTGGCTAGCGCTGCGGCCTCTCTAGGAGCAGCTGGAGGTGGAAACTCGTTGGCATTAACCCTGGGATGGATGGCCCAGCCGTTGGGTAGGGGGCAGACACGCGCCCCAGGGCCAGCAGGAAGGGCTGGGGCAGTCTGTGCGCTTATGTCCTAGGTCTCTTGTCAGCACAGGAACCTGTCTGTCCATCTCCCGGACCCAGCATCGGTCCGTGCGTGTGGCCAAGGACGAGGCGACAAGCGATACCAAGGTCAGCGAGAAGGAGAGACGCGTCCCGGCGCCAGCGGGGGCGGCCTCTAGCTCCCTTCCCCACCCGAGCCTCAGGGCCATCTCCGGCCGCATCGGGGTAACCTGGACCGACCTTTCTCGGGCTCATGGAGGCCCCGGAGCCTGGGACTCTTTCCCATATCCCTCTCCCAGCCCTGCGCGCCCACTCCCACTTCTTTGGGCCCCCTCCTTTCTCCGCTCCTCTTAACCCACTCCTCCCTCCCTTCTTCGGGTGGGCTGGGACCGTTGCCAAGGAGACAGCCCCGCCTCCAATTTTCACAGGCACCACCCTCAGTGGCCGGCGATTGGCCGATAGAGCTTGTGCTCTCACCGCCCTCCTCTCACCTCACAGGGTACAAGGCGTTAAAGGGCGCCAGAGAAGGTAAGGCACCTTTCTGATTGGTTAGAGGGCGCGCGGAGACAGTTCTAACTCGCCAGTCCGCCAGAAGCGCCTGCGGGGGTGAGCAGGAGCAAGGTGCCTGGCGTCTCCTCTCGAGTCCAGCCTGCTCTTCAGCTTTTTTCCCGCCCCCATTTACCCTCCATTATGTTTTCTTTTTGAAGAATGAAAATTAAAGGATCTGAGGACAGACACCCATCCGCCCCCCATCTCTCTTGATAATCCATCCCCATAGTATCCCTCTTTACATAGGTTCTCCGTACTGAAGGGGTCAGTCTAGGGATCCTCTCACCGAAAGGAGGCTGTTTTCCTTTCTGTTACTCTGGACTCTTCCCTTTATCTTCCCCCATACCTGAGTTGAACGCAAGTCTTTGAGAACCTGAGTCCCGGGTTCCTGGATTTTCTCACAGGGAGTGCGAAATCCTACAGGAATTCTTTCCAGGTGAGGGTGGTACCGAAGAGTATAAGAGGGGAAGTGAACAAAGAGAGAACCTTCTAGCAATTTAGAAATCCCCCCAGTCCTGTCTGACTGAATGGAGGATGGGAACCTAAGAAACAGGCCCCAGATGAAGCTTTGAATCCAGGAGAAAATAACCTTGGAAAGACAGCTTAATAGGATCCGATTCATGAACTTGTCTAACCTCCCTGCTGAAACTAGTTTGGTAGGGTTCTTGACTGTTAGTTAATGAGCTAAATTCTCCAATGTCTTCAAATCATAAAGGCAACTAACCACCACCTGTACAAACAAAGGAAAGCAACTGGTTGGGAAGAAAAATAGCATCGTTCATTCTCCTAAGAAGAGGTAAGAACAAGAATTTGGAGAATTCTAGGTGGTAAAGGACTGAAGAGAGGTGAATTCATATGTGATCCTACAAATACAAGAGCACTTCAAAAACTTTGTGGAAGCATTCCATTATCTTTGAACTCCATTTTTAACCACAATATTTTGAAGCCTCCATGTAGAATTGTAAGGAGCTTTGGTAGTGTAGTGATTACAAATCGGGCTGCTAACCTCTAGGTCAGCATTTTGAAACTACCAGCTGTTCCGCAGGAGACAGATGAGGCTTTCTGCTCCTGCAGCACATCATCATCATCATCATCATCATCATCATCATAATCATCATCTTGTAGAATCACAGAAATTTTACCACAAATGAAGCTGGGGCATCTTTCTGCCATCCCCAGGTATAACCTCGAACTCTGGGTCTCTCTTCCGTCCCCATGTCCGTGGAGTTTGTCCTAAAACCTTTGCTAAAAAAGGCTCATGTGGTCCAAAACTATGTAACCACATAGGCAAGACACCTACTATTGTTCTGATCATGGGAAGAGCGAGGCTTGGTGTACTCCTTGATCATCTCCATGTACTCACACAGTGAGAAACAAGTGTCTACTTCCAAAGATGCTTCACACCAGAGAAGATTCACACTGGTGAGCAGCCAAACCTTGCCAAGTGTGTGGCAAGGCCTCCATCCACAGCTCTGACAGTCTAGTGCCTGCACACTTCATAGGCAGGGGTCACGAACCCAAGTATGGCAGAAGTTGGACCAGTGATTTAAACTGATGGGATACTAGCCTTTCCATGTGTAACTACAGCCTTATGAGTGCCTAGCAGGGGGAGCATTGTGGCTCCATAAGATAAGCACTGAACTGCAAACCCCAAGTTTGAACCCATCAGCCACTCTGTGTGAGAAAGATGCAACTCTACTCCTAAAAAGATTGAAAGCCTTGGAAAGCCTGTACAGGGTTCCTGTGAGTCAGAACAGACTCAAGAGCACTTACCAACAACAACACCTAGTGGAGTCTTGGTGTGGTGCAGTAGGATAAGCATTGGACTACTAACTACAGTTGGTGGTTCAAACCCACTAGCTGCTCCTTGGAAACCCTATACAGGGTCACTGTGAGTTGGAACCAACTGGACAGCGCTTAATAACAACAGGAGTGCTTACTGAAGTATTCCTGGTGGTACAGTGGATTAAGCTACTACCCAAAAAGACTACAGTTCGACCTTTCCAGCTGCTCCACAGGAGAAAGATGAGGCGATCTGTTTCCATAAAGATTGACAACCTGGGAGCTCTGTGGAGCAGTTCTACGCTGCCATTTATGTCACTGAGTCAGAATCGACTCCACGTGGGGCAGTGAGTTTGGTTTGAGTACCTAATGTGGGAGAAGAGTGGCTGACCTCCGGCACCAGAGTCTGTCTGTGCAACAGGCTTTCAAGAGGTGACTAGCTTTGGTCTGTGACAGACCCACAGCAGTGAAAAGCTCTAAGTACAGGGGAGCCTCTAATGAGAGCTCCAGTTACATCACTCAAGGATACTTGGGAATCCACTGAACCTTGTTCGGCCATGTACCCATGGGGAGGAGGAACCCTGTGTGTGTCCTGAGTTGGATAACCGCCTTGTCTACAGCATCATCCCTTGGTGTGCAGCAGCAGTAAAGCTGAGCCCAGGTTAGTGTCCAGTCCATTGGCCAACACTATAGTCCTGGTGCTAGGGTGAGCCCGCACAAAGAGTCTGGGGGTGAAGTGCTCTCTTCTTAGGTGTGACAGGAAAGCCCTTTGAAAGACTCAATATAAGTACAAGTCCAGAAATATTGCTACTAGGGTTTCAGTTCATACATGCACAGGTTTATTTCCAACAAAATGAGTTTAAGCATGTCTCTCTGATCTGTGGATGTTTGCAGACAAATTCTCTTGGAAATACACTAGTGCTTTCCAAAAAAAAAAAAAGATCCCATCAAAATAATGAATTCCAAGGGGACCTACTGGTCCAATTAAATTCAAGGCAGAAGGTTATGGTAACTTTTTTGAGATTTGTAATCTTCTCAAAGAGCATAGGACAATCATGGGGGCTTATTATCATGGAAAACTGTTGTGCCGAGGGAACTGTTTGCCATCATGAGAATACAACTGTTCATTCTTGGAACATATCAAGGGCTGCCCTATACAAATTTCATTGGGAAACATTACCCCAGCTGCCTTACAGTCCTGATCTTTCCTCTTCAGGCTTCTTTTTGTGCCCCCCAACTCAAAGAACATTTTAAAGAAACACGATTTGAGTCTCTTAAGCATGCCAAAACTGCCACTTTGATGTGATATAAATAAAAAAGATGGATGTACTACCTTCGGAAGTACGTAGACCTAGATGAAGGTTATGTTGAGAAGCAACAAATTTACATTTTGATATTTTTGTGAATAAAGGTTTCTATGATTTTGTAGCAATACTTTTTGACTTACCCCAGTGTATTCAGCATGATTGGAAGTACTCAGAAAGAGGCCAGTCATAACACAGGAAATGGGGGTCTTTGTGTCTGTCTAGGCCATTCCCTAGGAGTCCTAGGGTGGTGGTGTTGGTTAATGCGCTGGACTGCAAAGTCAGTTTGAGCTGCAAGGTCAGTGGTTCAAGCTCACCAGCCTCTTCTTGGAAACCCTATGGGTGGGAACCGACTCGATGGCACTTAACAACAAAGGCCATTCCCTGGAACAGGCTCTGGGGCCAACTACTAATTTTGCAAAACTAAGAGCAACTAGAAAATAATGTTTTGTTCAGAGTAGTGGTTTGCAAACCTTAACAGGTATAAAATTCCTCCCCCATAAAGATCTGGTACAGTCTGGCAGGACCCAGGAAGAGCATTTGTAAAAGGTATCCCATGTGAGTCTGTGACAGGGCCTTTACTTTGAAAAATACTGGGGGCAGCTTTAACTTCTTTGCACATCCTGTTTCTACAAAGACACATATATACAAAATATTCCAAAGGATTATGGGGGTCCTTGAAGCTTAAATTAACAGCATCCCCCCCCCCCCCTTTTTTTTTTCTTTGCTTGCTTGGACAAGCTAGCATGAGCCATTGATCATGCCTTTACTTCTCACTAGCTGGTGTAGACAAGCATTCTCTTAATCTGGTCCTAACAGCAATGAGTCCTGGTGTGGCACGCAACCATAAGGTCAGTTTGAACCACAAGGTGAGTGGTTCAAACTTACCAGCCGCTCCTTGGAAACTCTATACAGGGTTGCTAGGAGTCAATTTGAGGGCACTTACAATGACGCCCAAGAAGAACCCTCTTCGTGGTTTCAGTTGCCTCTGGGTCTCAGCCTCTAAGACTATGGTTGTTGTTAAGTGCTGGCGAATTAATTCCAACTTATAGCTGCCGTGTCGGTCTTCCAAGGTTTCAAGAGCTGCGAGTGGGTTTGAACTGCGAACTCTGTGGTTAGCAGTCCAAGTGCTTATCCTACAGTGCCATACCAGGACTCTAGCTCTGTGATAGCAAAGGGAGCCTTAGGAAGCCAAGAAATGAGCTAAGATTAGGGGCTTCCTGAGACTTAAAAATTGATTGATGTTAAGAAGTTGGGTCATGAGGTCAACAGGCAGAGGAGTTGGGTCTGGTTTCTGAGCCTTGAGCAAGTCTTTTAAACTTCAAAGCACTCAAAAGTAGTAATTGATGGTCTTTTATTTGGTATGCTGAGGGTGGGGTCCAGATCTGGCTTTAATTCTGGGTTGAGAACTGGTGTTGCAAGTTGGGCTTTTCCCAGCTGAGGGGAGGGATTGTTCACGGGCTCTTCTGGGGCTTAAAAGCTGGAGCTGAGTTAGTGCCTACCGCCAAGTGCATGGTCTCACCCCATGTCCCCTTTGTGATCAGAAAAGCTTAGGGTCAGATTTGACTTAGGGTGGAATTCAGCCCGCTCATTACTACACCTGAATAGTATCTTGCCCTCACATTTTCTACTTCTTGTAGAAATGTCTCCAGGTTGACTAATGCAGCACAATGGGTTTCTGGTTATAGATGGCCTTTTGGGCACTGAGTTTAAGTTCAGCCAGGATGACTTTCTAGGCCACAATCCCGCAAAGGGCTTGGACAGTTATGCTATGCAACTTGTTATATGTCGTCTAGTCTGTATAGGGTTTCTGAGGCTCTAGATCATAAGGAGCTCTGGTAGAATAGTGGTTACGAATTGGGCTGTGAACCGCAAGGTCAGCAGTTCGAAACTACCAGCTGTTCTGCGGGAGAAAGATGAGGCTTTCTGATCCCGTAAAGATTCACAGCCTGTACAGAGTTGCTATGAGTCAGAACCGACTCCACGGCACATAACAACAACAAATCATTATAGGAGCAGTAAGTCTCATCTTCCTCATGGAGTAGCTGGTGGGTTTGAACTGACCAGTCCAATGCCTATCCTACAGTACCACCAGTGCTCTTGTACTATGCAAATAAGGCACATAATACCCTTACAGAGATTGGTCAGGTACTAATTGCCTATGCCAATGTTATGGGATAGGGCTTGGGCTGCTAATCTCAAGGTCAGAGGTTCAAACCCACCAGCTGCTTCACAGGAGAAAAATGAGGCTGTCTACTCTCATCACAATTTAGTCTTGGATAAGGTTTCTGTGAGTTAGAATCAACTTTAAGACAATGGGTTTGATTTTTTCTTTGGTGGTCCTTCTAGGTTTAAATGGACCATCTCACAGTGGTTGGAGGGGGACCTCACTATCATCAGGAAGAGCTGGGAGTGGGGTGTGCCCTTTGGACCCAGCAGAGTTTTCACACTGGAGATGGCACTTGATAGTGTAAGCTGGTACAAGAAGGTGCAAAATGTCGCCAGAGACAAAACTCAGACCAGAGCAAGATGGCTATGGTGGGCCTCCTGGCCCCCAGAGAAAGAGAATCAGTACCTTTGGGCAGGAGGCTTGTTGGCAGAGTGGGGTGCCTCTGGGCACTTGGTTGCAGTGCTAATAGAGCTGTGTCACTTAGGCCAGGCCCTGGCAGGGACTAACAACAAACACTCAAGCACAACCTGCTATCAAGCATGTCCAAACTGAAAGCTGTCTGGGTTTCAAACTGTCCTGGCTGACAAATTATATTCAGCCTCCTGATTCATTTCCATTCCAAGTTGATCCAGATTCCACGCTGCAGCCTGTTACTTCCCTAATAAACTACCTCATTTTGATTAGTCTGTGAGTTGTGTAGCCATTGCAACTAATCACTGAACCCAGCAGTGCCCTAAGGATGGCTGGGGTCAGGACGGTGAACAGGTTGGACAGTAGGTATGTCTGACCTCCACTTTACAGGGGTCAGCTGTATGCGGATCCAAGTCTCATTCCCCCTCCTGACATTAGAAAGCCTCTGAGGCTACTAGCTTATAACTAATCTGATTTCCTCCCCCTTTAAAATAGGCCAGACCAGGGCTGCATTGAGTGAACAGGGCAAGTGCCAACATGCCAGCACAGAGCAGAAGCTCTGTGAAGGTGAAGGGTTGTCCTGAGCAGAGACAGGACAGGGCTATGATCAGAGAAATGCACGGTGGAGGACAGCCTCGTTGTAAGGTGGTAGGGGAGCGATTCTGTGCAGAGCTTAGGAACAGAGATGGCTAGTCTTCTCTGGCTATAGATCTAACCATAAATGTACCTAGCCGATTCCCCATTGTTCATGATGGTGGGTACCTCAAGAGTGGCAGTGTACGTTTTTCTTTCACCCTGGAACATTCATCTCAGGCTGGCTTCTCCCTTGCCTTGGTGTGTTGAGGCTGTTTCGTCAGCCTCATCTTGTATGTGGTCTTTGCTAACAAGGCACTGGTCAGTCCAAGTTCAGTTCAATACCTGGTATCATCACAGAGAGTGGGTCTGAGACACTAGAAAACTTACAAGGAAACTAGGAGCCCTGGATAGGTTGCTTAGTCTTCCCTGGTCTCAGTGACCCCCAATGAAAAAAGGGGAGGGGAAAGCTAATAACTCTTCCAATTCAAAATTGTGATGAGGACTTCCTAGCTGTCTCAAGAGGCTGTGAAGGTTTGAGCTATTGGGTTATCCCAGGGAAGCCCAAGGAGGGCTAGAGGGAGCTCTAAGGGCCTTCCCCTTCAAACCCAGTGAGAGTGGGCTTGTGATCTGGAGGCCCAACTCAGTCCTGCCTCTTCCTGACTGGGCTGTCCTCTCTAAGTAAGTTGTCCCTCCTCCAGGTAGTTTTAAGGATGGTGGGTCATAGTGAACAGGAGAGCGGCAGCTACTCAGTGCCTTCCAGTTGTGGTTTTGAGCTTTTAGGACAAGTTGCCAAATCCTTGGACTTTCCAAGAGCAGCCAGAAAGCTGGATTTTTATGAAATGCATCAACTTTTAAATCTTGATCATTAATTTATAACATTTTAGAAGCCATCTAGAAAAAAAAAACAAAAAAACAGAGCTGAAGGTCGATCCAGTGCATGAGCTATCAGTTTTTAACTTCTGCAATAAAGTAAAACAAAAACCAATAGGTAAAATAAGGTCTCTTCTACCCCAATTCTCTTAACATGTCTGAGCTGAAATACAGTTGCTTCTTCACAATAATGGAGGTCTCATCTCAACAAAGAAGGCTAATGGGGATTCTAGAGTCTGGGGCAGTAGGGAGCAGAGTGTCAGCAGGTCAAACTGGTGAGGGCTGAAGACAAAACTTTCCTCATCACACAAGACCAGCTCTTGGCAACAATTCTGTGTCTTCTTTGTTGGCTGACACAGAGGCTCAGACCCCATGGCCCAACTTGGGCCTCAGGCAGTATCTCAATCTTCACCCTCAGCCTTGTCATCTTCGAGACCATCACCCACACTCTTGGAATATCTCTGGATAGTGTTGGAAGTCTATAGGTGGATCCAGGTCCCCTTGGCCAGAAGCCAGGAGGACAGGCAACCCAGTGACACCCCGGTGACCCCTGTTCTCCCCAGCACCAGGCCGATGGACCCACTGATGCTTGGCCATGGCTGACTTCTGGCCAAAGCACCTGCCACACTGAGGACAGGGGAAGGGACGCTCGCCACTGTGGGTCCGCCGGTGGGCCACCATTTCGGAGCTCTGTCGGAAGCAGCGCCCACAGTCTGGACACGGATAAGGCTTCTCGCCAGTATGGGTGCGCACATGGCGGCGAAGGTCTGAGGAGTGGGCGAAGGCACGGCCACAGTCTGGGCAGGGGAAGGGAGTCTCGCCACTGTGGACCCGCTGGTGCTGGTAAAGGGCAGAGCTCTGGCTGAAGCAGCGATTGCAGTCACCACAGCGGTAGGGCTTCTCGCCTGTGTGGATTCGTAGGTGGGTGGTAAGGGCAGAGCGCTGAGTAAAGGCCCGGCCACAGTCAGGGCAGCGGTGGGGTCGCTCCCCACGGTGGATAGCCCGATGCTTACTCAGGGAGGAAGCCTGGCTGAAGCCCTTGCCACAATCAGGGCAACAGAAGGGCTTCTCACCTGTGTGAGTGTAGAGATGCTCCACCAGAGTGGAGCGCCAGGCAAAACTCTTTCCGCACACATAGCAGCCATGACGCTGGTCTGCTCTGGGAACAGGGGGATGGCCACAGAGTGCAGTGCGGCCCCGACGAGGTGCCCTAGACGTCTGTTCCAAACCATTAGAGAGCCCATCAGGAGGGGGTTTGAGAATCTTCAACCCAGCAGCCATATAAAGGGTCTTTTCCAGTGCCTTCGTCTCTTCCCTTTGTCCTTTCTCCTTTCTGGAATCTGCTGGAAGATAAGGGTGGAGCTCAGACCGTGTGTCATCCTTGAATCCCATATCCTACCTGGTGACAGAGAAACCTCTTAGATACAGCCACTTTCTGGACTAACAGCCACCTATGGAACTCAAATAGGCACAGATAGGGGAGCTGGAAGAGGTACCTGCTCAGCAGCAAGGGCAGAAACAGGAGAGCAAGGAAGTTACAGGCATGCTGCTTTGTTATTGTTGTTGTGTGCCGTAGAGTCGGTTCCAACCCATAGTGACCCTGTATAGGATTTCCAAGGAGCAGCTAGCGAGCTTGAACCACTGACCATGTATTCAAACAACTTTGCAGTCTGACGCATTAGCCCACAGCACCACACCAGGACTCCGATAGTCTGCTTTAGGGATGGGAAAAACTGGGAAGGGGCGGGGCAAAACATCCTGAAGGATGCTTAAGGGCATTCCAGGCCAGCAGGAACCACAGGAAAAAAACATGAACATGGTGGCACTGATGAGCTCAGTGAGGCAGGGAACTGTACAAGGACGGAGAAGATCTGGAGAAGAACACACTGAGGTCAAGAGGAATGAGGCCGCTACAAAAATAAATCAAAAAGAAGTAAGCCAGTGTAAGAAAATGGCAAACAGGATGGTGTGGATACACAACCTACAGAGTTTAGTGATCAACTAGGAAGAGGAGCTCCAAGGCAAGCAGGTATGTCAGGAGGGTCTGGCACTCCAGCAAAAAACGGAGTCATAATCACAGCCTCTTTCTAGGCTGAAACCAGAAGCCAGACAGAGCCAGTTGGGAAAGCAATGCATGCTGAAACTGACATAACAGAGGGTACCAGGATGGGTCAGACACAGAGGAAGTCCCCACAGGAAGTTCAATGGCAGAGTACCCAAGCCCTTACCCATGTCTGTTTCTGTAAGACAAATCCCCGCCTCTGGATCCTGAGCATTTGGACCCCACAGCTCGGCTTCTTCCTCCACCCAGGAGATGAGGGCTGGCTTGCTGCCTCGGAATCCTGGGGGAGAGTGCAAAGCCCAAGCTGAGAGAGGCCGCCCCACAAGGCCCAGACTTCCGGACCCCAAGGCTGCCCACTCCATGAGTGAGGTCCGGAGACGGAGAAGGGTGTACGGCGGAGGTGGGGCCTCACCGAGTGCGAGCAGGTGGCCGTAGGTCTCCCGCATCACGTCCAGGTACAGGGCCTTCTGCACCGGCCGCAGACACGCCCACTCCTCCCGGGAGAAGTACACCGCCACGTCCGCGAACCGAACGGGCTCGCCTTTCCTCCACTTAGGTTCCCGGGCGGAGAGCAGGGCTAGAGGCACCATGGGAACCGTCAGCCCCGGTGACTGGACAGTCGCCTCCCCTGGCCGAGCCTCCGGCTGCAGAGCCTCGGGAGCTCAAGAAGAGCCTAGTCGGCCAGACCCAAGGGTCGGAGTGTGCTCATTAACGGGCCTCTCGAGGACCCACTGGAGTGGATCCGCACTAAGACTGGATGGTACAAGGGACATCGAGACTCCCAACTGGTAGGTGTATTCATTGAAAAAATGGTAGCAACGCGACCTCACGAACTTTACTCCGACGCAATCGCGCCCACCAATGACGCCACCCCGATGTCTCCAGGTCGCTTTTGTCTTCGAGCCCTCAGTCAAAATGGCCGCGGCGGCTACCGGCCCGAGAGAATGAGCAGGTCGACTGGCCCGGGTAGAGGCGCGCGGGTTTAAAGAGTCCGCAGCTCGTGTCTAAGAAGACCGAGGTCGGGATCTCTGCACAAGCCCGAGGAGAAGCTCCGCCCCCAGACCTGGAGGAAACAAAGGAGCCAGTAGCTCAGGGTTGGAGGAGGAAGACCCTGGAGCCCCGAACCAGCCCGCTCTGAGCCGTTTTTAATTGGGCTTCGCCTCATCACCCCTCCCTCACGACTTCACAAGCTCGGTGACAGCGACCTTTTCACAAAGTTAAGGATAAACAATGCAATGGATAAAAGAGTACCGTCTCAATCTGAAGTTTGTTCAAACCTGAAATTCTGGAAGCCTTTATTTCAAGAGTTCGTAAGAAGAGGATATGGATCTGGGCTAAAACCTGTAGAAGAAAGTCTTTTTCAGAAGCGTACCCTCCCAGACAATGCCCTTGCAGGTCTCTGTTCACGTCTAGCTCAGGCCTGGTGCTAGAGCTCCTGACCACAGATCCACTTGATTGTTACTTTGCCCCTGCATCAATGTCAAACAGAGCCCTTCACTCTCTCCCCCCACTTGCCCCTCCTAGGGTGTCTTATCTCTGCAAATGACCCACAACCCCTGACTTCTTTTGCTTCACCAGGTGCTTCCCACAAAGTTCAGGAGTTGCCTTCTTCTGATCCATCGTGTATCTTTCTCTAGGGATTGGTCCCTCTAACAATATGTCCAAGATACAAGAGATAAAGTCTTGGCATCCTCTTACTAAGGAACATTCTGGCTGTACTTCTTCCAAGACAGATTTATTCATTCTTCTAGTAGTCCGTGGCACATTCAATAAATTTCCCAACACCATAGTTCAAATGCATCAGTTCTTCAGTCTTCCTTATTATTCACTGTGCATATGAGGCGATAGAAAATACTATGACTTGGATCAAGCGCATCTTAGTCTTCAAGGTGACATCTTTGCTTTTTAACACTTTAAAAAGAGGATTTTTGCCACAGATTTACCCAATGCAATACACTGATTTCTTACCTCAGGCTTGGTGTTGTTGTTGTTAAGTGCTATTGAGTCTGTTCCGACTTATGACAACCCTGTGTAGGGTTTCTGAGGAGTAACTGGTGGGTTTGAACTACTGACCTTGAGGTTCAAACCTATCTTGCCCATCTGGGGGTTCACAGTCCAGTGCTGATCCTACAGCACCACAGTATATTCCGCTAGAGCGAAGGATATTCAAGCAGTGGTGGTAGTTTCTTGAGGGCAGAGAAGACCATTTACTTCAGATTACATCTCTAGGCAGCCAATTCCAGAGATTCTGCAGGGATAACTGAGAAGGCAGAAATAAACTCCTTCCCCACCTCTGTCAAGGTAAAGAGAAAATCACACAAAATAGCCTGCCTTTTACCTGTGCGCAGACTTCTAGCTGCTGCCCTTCCCTGGCCCCCAGCCTGTTCACATCATGAGCACCACTACCCTGTGGGACAAGCTATGGATCCTGACATGAAAAATCAGAGGTGAAGTAACACCAAGGTTCCAAAAAGAAAAGGGCCCCAGGGCCCAGGTGGAGTTGCTCTGGCTTCCAGGCCACACTGCTGCAACTCCTGTGAAGGTCTTTTCCTTCCCATCGTCATCTTAGGTCTGAGGCACAAGTGCCACTCTGCCAGGGAAGCATCTAATTCTTCCCATCATGTCTACCCCCAAATCTCCCTCTCTCTCATTCAACAGTCTGTCAGCACGTTTATTGACTATCCCCACATAGCTTCATAAATACCCTGACCCAGAAAAACTTTTATTTTCCCTTTGGACAGCTAAGTCAGGCATAGCATTTCACACACATTGTGGGAAAGAACACATCTTTAGCTCCTCTGGAGCCTAGCCTGAAGTTTTGGTCTGTCTGACTGACTCCTTTCAAAGGCCTCCCTAAGTCTTGACACCTTGCATCTAGTGGGTGCTTCCTCTTACAGTCAGGGAAGCTGGACAAATAGAGTTGCCCACAGGAGAAGGAAAAAAAGGGCAAGAAGCTCGGGAAAAGTCAGCCTAGTGCAGGAGAAAGGTTTATTGGAGGGTGGGCTGAAAAAGAATGAGGCTGCAGAATTGACAAGGGACTTGGACCCCAAATCTAGTTTTCATAGCCTCTTAGTCCCTCAGAGGACACAAAAGATTACAGTGTATGGCGCTCTGTCACCTCACTTCCCACCACGGTTTCCAACATCCACAAGCCTAGGGGAACTCTGGGTAGTGCTGGAGTCAGCACACAGGGAGGAACTGGGATAGTGATGTGACCAGGAAGAAGTTGTACTCACTGAGGTGAAATGAAGTGAATGATTTGTTGAATGTAAAATTGATATCTGCTCTGTACACCCCCTCTGCACATGGAGAGGACAGGGATGGGCAACTTGGACATTGGCTACCCAAAATAGGGGGGCTACAGAGGCAAGAAGAGACTGACTTACAAGCTTTCAAGAGGGAACCCAGATCCAGAAGGTGTGGAGCAAAGTAGAGTCTCCACTGAGTAGTATCCATTCTGTCTAGTCTAGGCCAATGAAAGGAGATGCAGATAGGTCTTTTGCAATACGATAGTGAATAATGGTTATCAGGACTGATTGTAAGGGCTGGAAATGTAAAGGTAGACATTTTGTGGCAAAGGGAGGGGAGTGATTAACTTTGCAGTCTAGGAGCGGAGATCTCTGGGACCATCAAAGGAGAGAGAACAGAACCCTATCCAGAGAAGCAGTGATGCCAGGAATGAAGGCAGAGATGATGGCGTGGGGAGATGGAGCAGCTGGGGACTTTGGACCCGGAGAGGAAGAGGGGCTGTGTATGGACGACCAGGGGACAGGCTTGTGGGGTAAACCCTTTGGTTGGTGGATGATGCATGGAGGGGAGTGTAACCATGGCAAGGAAACAATATACGACAGGATCAATGTGAAGCTAATGTCCTCCCATGTAAACTATCACATAATTCACAATAAAGCATAAAAAAAAAAAAAAAAAAGAATGGCATGGAGGCAATACCTGACCCCTAACTTCACAAGAGAAAAGGGAAATCCATATCAATAGCTCAAAGCTGATTCTATGAGACCAAGGTCAGACATGCCTCCATCTATGTTACCAATTCTAACATCAGGCATGTCTCCCACAGCACCTCTACACTGCTGGGTTCAATAATTCATTGCAATGGACACACAGAACTCAGACAATACAATTATGGGGTTTATTAGGGATGTAACAGGTTACACTTCAGGAGCCCAAACAAATCAGGATATGGTTCATCAGTGAGGACAGTTTCTTCTCAGTCATGCAGCAGGTGGACTTCTCTCTGGCCGTTGGATCTCTCGGGCTGCTTTGGTCTCTGACCTCCTCTGGCAAGTGTTACAATGCTTTTATAGCTTTGATTTATTTATTTTTACTTTTTATTGGGATGAACTGAGTGAAGGTTTACAGAGAAGATCATTAGTTTTTTATTAAACAAACCACATATTTCCTTCGTTAAAATGATTGTGATCCCCTACCTGTTACTCGCTTTAAATTTCTCCCTGTGTCTCCTGATACCTTCATCTTTCCTCTGCTAACCTCTCTCTTGTATATTGCCTGCCCAAACATCCATCTTATCATGGATCTACCCTCTAGCCTATAATTACTTTTCTCACCCACCCACCCCCAGTAGTAACCATCACAGAATGTCTTTTATCAAGAAAACATTTTTTTAACTTTTTACAACATTGATCTCATACAACATTTGTCCTTTTTTGATTGACTAATTTCACTCATAATGCAGAGGATACAACCTTGCTTGCTGAAAGTGAAGAGGACTTAAAACATTTAGTGATGAAGATCAAAGAGCACAGCCTTCAGTATGGATTTCATCTCAATGTAAAGAAAATAAAAATCCTCACCAC